CTTTAATCTTAATGCTTTAAAGGGATTGAAAATCCTGTCATCATTTACGTTTCAAACCTGTATGACTTTCTTTCTTCCGTGAAACACAAGGTATTTTGAAGAACTGTTTTTTCGTCCATACAATGAAACTCAATGGGGTCCAAAACAACACCGGACCCCTTTGAGTTTCATTGCGTGGTCAGAAAACACATTTTTCAGAATGTCTTCTGTACTGTAGAAGAAAGAAGGTCAAACAGGTTTGGGAGAGTAAATGATGGCAGATATTTCATTTGGAAGTGAACTATCCCTTTAAGATGATTTGGTTGGTTTGGGAGCATATACACATATTTTTACGTAAAAAAAAAAGAGGGAAAAAATTAACAGTATCCTGGTCTATTTTCTTCATCTTTCAGAAAAGAAAAAAAACACGAGGTAAAGTTTATATCCTACCACGAGAGTAAGGAAGTAATGTATTATGTTGGATTAAAACAGTATTGGCTGCAGTATTGTCTTGGGATAAAAAGACAAGTTTGTTATGAAGTTTATTTAGCCTTATATATTGGGACATCAAGAATTGATATGTAGAGTTCCCTGCCTTTTTTAAGTATTGACCCTTAATCTTGTGTTACGGTGAGGTGAAGAGGGTTCAAAAGCATCTTCAAACCTCCCTAATAGTGTTCAAGATTGTTACTGAAGCACGTTTAGCAGTCCTACACTTTCCAAACTCCTCTTTCTCTCTTTCTCTGTCATCCCCCCATCGCTTCACCCTCACCTTCTTTCATTCAAACAAATCGCTCACATCTCAGTCCTATCCTTTCTTCACATTTCTACTTGTTTTTACGAGCTCTTTGATATTGGTTGCATATTTAAACTCGGTTTCATTGTGTTCTCCTGTTTTTAATCCTTGTTATTACAACTAAGATTATTGTTGTTGCTCTTGATGTTGTCCTTGATGTTACGATTGCGAAGCTTCTACCAAATGAAAATAATAATTTTTAAAAAACAGTCGAAACATTGATGCATTGTATGTTTGGTCCATGACATTTCTCTATACCGAACCTCTTGTAATAATATTCCACAAAGAGGTCAAAAGGACTTCGGGATGATTGATATCATTGCTATCTAACAGACATCGCTTATATCTAGATTTGGGCCTTGCAAACGAATAACTTGTATGCAGTGGATCACGTGTAACCATGAAATTGAAAACATATGAATGCATATATTTAAATCAGCAAATGAAATTCCTTCCGCAGTGTTTCTTTATGATCTTTGGCTCCTACAAATACAAGCCTTGTAATGTAATTGCCTTAAATGGTAATACAACTGTAAAGGGTTAATCAGCAGATGTGAACTCTTGTATATGCCTGCAGTTGTACTATTCCTAGCTAGGCCTCAACTCAGACAGATCAGAGTTGAAATGTTAATTTATTTGCCCTGGTCCCCGAGTATAGATCCTTTTGTTGAAACTGAAATATCGTTAGTTTCAGTGCTTGGTATTATTTGGGAGAGTTGTGTCAAATCAAGCACTTTCTGTCCATTTTTCATTCTGTCTTTTAATATTTTTTGTTGTCATTTTGTTTGTTTCCTGCTAAGCGTCACTGTGTACATTGTGATTCCAGACAGTCAGTGACATTGTTGTGATCGACATTCGGCTCACCGAATGGAACATGTTAATAATGCATCTTTCTCTCTTTTGTTTTGTTTTGTTTGTAATAAAATAAAAATTCAACTGAACAATTTCTGTTTTGCTGTTCTTGTTATGAAAGTGTTGGGACTGGGAGAATTAATCAGTTCATTGGAATATCTATTGCAGTGCTCCAGACTGTTACTAAACAAACAAACAAACAAAAAAAAATATATATATATATATATACAGGAGCGGATTAAGGTGGTCAGGGGCCCCTAGGCTGCTCTTTGTGTGAGGCCCCCCTTAATCATTATGCTTTACTGGAGAAATGTATTTAGTGCCATTACATGGTCCACGCAAATAGTAAGGTGAACTGGCATACACACACACACACTGAGACAGCCAATCCTACAGTGTTTCCTTTACATTCCCAGTGTTCCCACAGGATTTTGTGGGTGCACATTGGTTGCTCTAGTCTAGGGGGTTCCGGGGGTATGCCCCCCATAAGAACATTTTGTTCATTTTAAATTTAAATGCATAAATCTGGTGCATTTTGAGAGCAGAATCAAGTGTTCTTATGGACCAATCAGGGTCTTTTTTGTTCACGCTGAAGTAAATTTAAAAGAAAAAAAATTTAAAAAACAGTCTGGCCAATCCGAGGCCCCTGCACACGTGGGGCCCCTAGGCTGCAGCCTAGGCAAGCCTGTGCTTTAATCCGCGCCTGTATAAATATTATATTTGCAACAGTCATTTAAAATCTACTCACTATTCAATGTTTTATGAGCGTCCATTTTGGTTTCGTCAGAAATCATCTTGTTAAAGTGTCTTCTACCAAAGACTATAGAATAACAACTGTCTAATAAAGGTTCTTTCTTATGCTGAAATAGCGTTAAAGTCGGCATGAAATCAAAATTGACTTTACTAGCGCACATTGCTAGTCTTGATGTTAACAATTAATCCGTGTAAGTTAATCCGCTGAAAAAAAAATTTTTGTCTTCGTAATCTTTAATCAAAATCTGAACATTTGCTTCTGCTCTGGAATGGCAGTCCTTCTCTGATGAACAAAATCTTAAAAAGACATGCAAATGAATAAAATGTAAGTCACGAACATGAACAAAATCTCAAAAAGCCACGAACATGAACAAATATCCTTTTAAACACACCCCTCCTACCGTTAATTTGATATGAGTGAGAGACAGAGAGGAGGAGCGCCAAAATAAAACCATGCCCTCTATTCAATATTCCGTTTCAGAAGGAAATACGTCACTACACTGAAATAAAGTCGGCAGCAACTTCCGGTTCACGCGGACTTTAAAAATTGAATTTTTTATTATTTTTCAGGCTAGAGCAGCCAATGCGCATGCGTAGTCTTAGCACGCGTCTCAGAACGCTGACTGCAACTAAAGTCCTTATAAGGAATGCATTTCTATAGTCTTTGCTGCAAACCGGAGCTTCTAGCGGCAGCTGCAGTGATGCGATGACTTTACCAATTGGCGATTGGCTCTTTTATTGAAAAGACGGGACTATTCCGCCATATTGCCCGTTACACTTTCTCCCATTTATAAGGAGTGCAAAGTCTTTGCTCAAACTCGCTAGAGGTTTGAATCATTCAGTCAGTGAATCATTCAGGACCGTTAAAGGGGTCATATGATGCGATTTCAAGTTTTCCTTTCTCTTTGGAGAATTCACAACTGATTCCCTCACAGACCCACAAGTCAAGGAACCGTTACTGTGATGACAACTTGAGGTTCGTGTTTTTGTCTGGAGCCTTGTAAGGTCAAAACTACACAAAAAAGAGCATTTCGGCACACCGAAAGGAACATGTTAATAATCTTTTTGATTTGGCCCATTCAGACTTGATTGTTTAAATAAAACATGCCAAGCAAATGTTCAAATGTCTTTTAAAGTCTTAATATTTTGTCCTATTTGACTACGATTATTTAATATTACAACATAACTTATGGCAGCTGCATTGCATTTTGCAGGCTTGTAATATAACTTCTTTATCAGTTTTACAGGTCTTTTGGCTTTGAAAACCTACAGAGATTACATTTCTTGATACCTTCTCAATACCCATAAATGCAGGAACCTCATATCTTCAACCCAATTTACAGGTAAAATAAATTTTTCTGATGATTTAAAAAAATTTGCCCATGAAAAAGAAACACCTGTGCATATTTTCTAATCGAAACTGCCTCCATCACCTTAAACTTCATCTTGACCCAGTCAGGTTTATCTGGGATGTTTTAAAAGCAGAAACGGTGCCGATAGCCAAATGTGGATTTTATGCGAGGAGTGAACCCAACCAGATGAAAAAAAAAAATACTGAGAAGACAAGGGGGAGGGAATGGGGCTAGAGATCAGGAGGGAATAAGCACATGTTTTTCCTCAAAGGTTTTCAACTATTTGCTGCAGATTGAGATACAGGAAGTGAGAGTCCAGAAGCAAGTGGAAATGAGACGGTTTGCAGGGGTCCACATGAGGGTTCAGGAAATACAAAGAGGAAGCCAGCTGCATTATTAGGAAACCCATTTGGGGCAAAGTGCATGGTTGTAATTTCCATTTCTGATTTAATTGACAGTATTGACAAGATTTACGAAAGGCTTCAGGAGCGGTAGGTCAGGTAGACATTGACAGATTCGAGTCACCAGTGGTTTCATACATTTCTAATTAGTGAGATTAAATGAAATAACGATGGTGTAAAAATCTGTAACTTTAACTTTTAAAAAAATATAACATGAAATTGCACATTATATAAAAACTAAAGGCATACTGTGACTTTTTTTTTTAAAGGTCTGTGCCATGCCATCAACCTTCATGCCATATGTACACATAATCCACTTTCAGTGACACAGTACAGTACACAAGATACATCATCTGCTTTGAAGTCACGGCCTTTTCATCGATAAATATTAATATAGGTTTCATATGTCACAGTGACGGTGTATTTGGAAAGAAACGTGTGGCTTGTTGTTTCAAATCGATGCAACAACAAAAGTAAAGTTTCTTGTATTATCTGATGCATATTTAGTCACTTTGAGTTTTCATAACGACCAACCAAAACCTTCATTTTTCTGCGCTGAACCCATCCAGTGGTAAGGCAGTTCAGGAACTAGGGCAACTCTGTTTTGGTCCAGCCAAGTAACCAGTGGTGAAACCTCTCATGCTTGTAGTGGCCTGCAACGCTGCTGAAAATTCATAGTCCTTTTGGTCAAACTGGTTATGCCAGTATATAAGCCAACCACGCTGCTGGAGCAATGTCTCTGGTATGCTGTAATTAAATGCTATATTTATATAGTAGAAATTGTGCTGGTTTGCGTTTAATAAGGCATTTGCAGCCAAACCGACAGAGTACCAAATGATTCTCTATAAATTGGTCCTAAAAGTAAAGTTTCTTGTATTATCTGATGCATATTTAGTCACTTTGAGTTTTCATAACGACCAACCAAAACCTTCATTTTTCTGCGCTGAACCCATCCAGTGGTAAGGCAGTTCAGGAACTAGGGCAACTCTGTTTTGGTCCAGCCAAGTAACCAGTGGTGAAACCTCTCATGCTTGTAGTGGCCTGCAACGCTGCTGAAAATTCATAGTCCTTTTGGTCAAACTGGTTATGCCAGTATATAAGCCAACCACGCTGCTGGAGCAATGTCTCTGGTATGCTGTAATTAAATGCTATATTTATATAGTAGAAATTGTGCTGGTTTGCGTTTAATAAGGCATTTGCAGCTAAACCGACAGAGTACCAAATGATTCTCCATAAATTGGTCCAGCAAGGCAAGATGTGCAGTCATTAACATCCCGATGACATCTCCATGGAAGGGCACTTGCATTCATAAAGGGGTCATCTGTGACCACAGTCAGCTGGTTATAGAAACGTTCCTCGCGAAGTCAAAATTTCCTCTTTTAAGGCAACGCCAGGATCAAAGAGACAGGTTTAGGTTAGGTACTTTTGGGCCAGTGATCTGTGGAAAACTATAAAACTATTTTGTCCATACAGCTGAGGTGTCTGGAAAACCGTCTGTGCCTCTAGTTGACTTTGAAGAGGCCAAAGTAGTGTTTGCCCGACATCTGCAGACTGAAGAAACCTCCGGTGACGGCCTTCAGCTCGGCGCCCTTGTTAAGGCGTAGGAGGCCGGAGACCTGGCAAGGCTTTAGGAAGTGAAACCTGTGCGAGCCAGACGCTGGTGTGGTTCCGTACCCCTCGATGCACTGGAGTAAAGGGCCCTTAGGAACGGACACCTCGAGCTTCACGTACTGACTCTGGTTCTCGTTGAAGTGTACATCTATCTATCTATCCTGTCTGTCTGTATCTGCATTTCTATCTAGTCTGTCTGTCTAGCTTTATTTATCTATCTATCTATCTATCTGGCTTTATCTGTCTTTCTATCTATCTAGTCTGTCTGTCTCTATCTGTCTTTCTATCTATCTATCTAGTCTGTCTGTCTGGCTTTGTCTATCTATCTATCTATGTCTGTCAAAAAGGTAGCATATGTAGATGATACCACTTTGCCGAAAACTGGTTTAACTCACTTGACAGTACAGGAAGTAGACACCGCTGCGCTCCACTTTGAAGGTGCCAGTCTCTGGATTATAATGCACTGCCCTGCTCATATTCAGCTGCTCCTCAGTCCATCCTTTAATGACTCCCTCATTCCCCACTAGGACGCATACATTATTAGAGAATATTCCATAAGACACATACAGTTAGAGAATACTCCACATATATATACACTCCCAAATAACTCACCTTTTTGGAAGGAATCGTTGGTTACTGTTAAAAATTAGATATATATTAGTCTGGGGGAAAAAACAGCAGTTGGGTTTTTCATTGTTAAAAAAATGATTTGCAATACCGTCCACTTACTCTCAAAATGAGAGGCCACTTTTCGTCCATTTCCTTTCCTCCCTCCCGCTTGCAAGATAAAGACAAAAGAAAGGCATGTTTTGGAAAAAGAGACAAAACTCTCTGGGATGCAGATAGGAGTCATCCATGTGGAGCTCCTGCAACTTCCAGCATTAAACAGCTGTGCAGATGCAAACATCACGGATTAATCTAGAATAATTTATACACCAGCTGAAGTCCTGATTGTCAAAGCAGATGGTGAAATATTTCCTTTCAGCTCTGTTCTACACTTCTCCTAGTCTTTGTTTTCAGTAACAGGCACCATGCACAGTATTTTCTACTTTCACCCCACCAGCTGGTTCCAGTCAACAAAGAGGCAAAACTTAGGGGAAAAAAATTAGACAGCAAGAAAATGAATTTTTGGCTCTTTCTTAACCTTTCTCAGGCAGAAAATAATCTTCCTATGAAATGAGGTAGATTAACATCTATGGCTACCGTTCAACATAATGCAATAATTCAAACAAACCACCTTGAGAAATGTTTTTTTTTCTTCTTTGCCCCTCTCCAGAGGCTCTCGAATCTCGCCTCAGGGGAGCTGCCTGAACTCCCGCTAGTCCGTCAAAATGTGCATTGACTGATCACCTAAGTCTCAGACTTCAAAAGGAACTTCATAGAAATGGTTAAAACGACTGTTATTCCTGGCTGACCGTTTCAACTTGAAGCCGTGACTGTCCCTAAGGGGCACTATTCTGGGCTAGGAAAACAATATATTTTGAGGAATGATTGTGGATAAGCATTTTGGCTCTGAAATCAGACAGCCGTCAGGTGTCAGCTGAAGACTTGCGGCTGCTCATTAGACTTCTGAAGGTCCATCTGTTTCTACACTAATGTTTATTTTGTTGATCTTCTTGGCCGTAGTTCCTTACCTTTAGTTGTTTTTTTACCCTGTTAGCACTGCTTTTTCCACCGTGTACTCAGGAGACCAACCAACCTCGAGATGCCTTATCGCATAATTGCAAGAGAATTCAAGGCAGAACTAAAGTAAGTCTATTGCTAATTAAAGCTATTTCAGGCTTCAGTGCAAGGGGTCACTTGTTTTAGACGGTTGCTAAAACCACTATGCCCTTGCGGTCCTTATGCCAGTTGGTTTTTGCCAGATGCGTGTCCATCCAGCTCAAACCTGTAATTTCTGCTGTCATTCAGCCTGCTGCCTACTGTTTCCTGTTGCAGCTTTTGGAAACATATGCCCAATGGTTTAGTCTGGCTTTATTTATCTATCTATCTGTCTGGCTCTATCTATCTATCTAGTCTGTCTCTATCTGTATTTCTATCTATCTATCTATCTATCTATCTGGCTCTATCTATCTATCTGTCGGGCTCTATCTGTCTTTCTATCCATCTATCTAGTCTGTCTGTCTGTCTGTCTGTCTTTCTATCTATCTATCAAACATGAAGACTTTTGAAATATATATATCTTTGTTTTATTTATTTATTTATTTATATATATATATATATATATATATATATATTGTTGATCTTCTTGGCCGTAGTTCCTTACCTTTAGTTGTTTTTTTACCCTGTTAGCACTGCTTTTTCCACCGTGTACTCAGGAGACCAACCAACCTCGAGATGCCTTATCGCATAATTGCAAGAGAATTCAAGGCAGAACTAAAGTAAGTCTATTGCTAATTAAAGCTATTTCAGGCTTCAGTGCAAGGGGTCACTTGTTTTAGACGGTTGCTAAAACCACTATGCCCTTGCGGTCCTTATGCCAGTTGGTTTTTGCCAGATGCGTGTCCATCCAGCTCAAACCTGTAATTTCTGCTGTCATTCAGCCTGCTGCCTACTGTTTCCTGTTGCAGCTTTTGGAAACATATGCCCAATGGTTTACCCAAGGTGCCGTGGTGTCCAAAATGGTTTGGTCTCTGTAAATATTGCGTGCGACGACCAAAGATCATCCTTCTGCAGCTGCAAAGACTGCAGGTGATCCAAGGCTTTCTGACAACAGCTGTCGTGTGTCAGTTTTACAGCTATGTTTTTAATAGTGTTTTTATACATCATCTGCATTTTTGTAATCTCTATGGTTTTATTCAATTTCCTTGAAAGAGTAACGTGTGATTGCTATAACGGATAGTCTGCATTTGAAGCTGTCACAATCACAAATCATTTGTTCAGTGTTTACTAGTCAAGTGCTTTGAATGGATTTCAATAACTGGCTTCATGCCTGACATTATGACATATGATGTCCTTCAGTACCATGGATTATAATGCACCGCCCTGCTCATATTCAGCTGCTCCTCAGTCCATCCTTTAATGACTCCCTCACTGCCCACTAGGACACACACATTATTAGAGAATATTCCATATGACACGTACTGTTAGAGAATATTCCACATATATATATACTCCCAAATACCTCACCCTTTTGGAAGGAATTGTTGGTTACTGTTAAAAATGAGATATATATATATATATATTAGTCTGGGGGAAAAAACAGCAGTTGGGTTTTTCATTGTTAAATAAAGTGATTTGCAATTCTGTCCACTTACTCTCAAAATGAGAGGCCACTTTTCGTCCATTTCCTTTCCTCCCTCCCGCTTGCAAGATAAAGACAAAAGAAAGGCATGTTTTGGAAAAAGAGACAAAACTCTCTGGGATGCAGATAAGAGTCATCCATGTGGAGCTCCTGCGACTTCCAGCATTAAACAGCTGTGCAGATGCAAACATCATGGATTAATCTAGAATAATTTATACACCAGCTAAAGTCCTGATTGTCAAAGCAGATGGTGAAATATTTCCTTTCAGCTCTGTTCTACACTTCTCCTAGTCTTTGTTTTCAGTAACAGGCACCATGCACAGTATTTTCTACTTTCACCCCACCAGCTGGTTCCAGTCAACAAAGAGGCAAAACTTAGAAAAAAATAAAATACTAAAAATTAGACACTGCAAGAAAAATGAGTTGTTGGCTCTTTCTTAACCTTTCTCATGCAGAAAATAATCTTCCTATGAAATGAGGTAGATTAACATCTATGGCTACCGTTCAACATAATGCAATAATTCAAACAAACCACCTTGAGAAATGTTTTTTTTTCTTCTTTGCCCCTCTCCAGAGGCTCTCGAATCTCGCCTCAGGGGAGCTGCCTAAACTCCCGCTAGTCCGTCAAAATGTGCATTGACTGATCACCTAAATGGTTAAAACGACTGTTATTTCTGGCTGACCGTTTCAACTTGAAGCTGTGACTGTCCCTAAGGGGCACTATTCTGGGCTAGGAAAACAATATATTTTGAGGAATGATTGTGGATAAGCATTTTGGCTCTGAAATCAGACAGCCGTCAGGTGTCAGCTGAAGACTTGCGGCTGCTCATTAGACTTCTGAAGGTCCATCTGTTTCTACACTAATGTTTATTTTGTTGATCTTCTTGGCCGTAGTTCCTTACCTTTAGTTGTTTTTTTACCCTGTTAGCACTGCTTTTTCCACCGTGTACTCAGGAGACCAACCAACCTCGAGATGCCTTATCGCATAATTGCAAGAGAATTCAAGGCAGAACTAAAGTAAGTCTATTGCTAATTAAAGCTATTTCAGGCTTCAGTGGAAGGGGTCATTTGTTTTAGAAGGCTGCTAAAACCGCTATGTCCTTGCAGTCCTCGTGCCAGTTGGTTTTTGCCGGGTGCGTGTCCATCCAGCTCAAACCTGTAATTTCTGCTGTCATTCAGCCTGCTGCCTACTGTTTCCTGTTGCAGCTTTTGGAAACATATGCCCAATGGTTTACCCAAGGTGCCGTGGTGTCCAAAATGGTTTGGTCTCTGTAAATATTGCGTGCGACGACCAAAGATCATCCTTCTGCAGCTGCAAAGACTGCAGGTGATCCAAGGCTTTCTGACAACAGCTGTCGTGTGTCAGTTTTACAGCTATGTTTTTAATAGTGTTTTTATACATCATCTGCATTTTTGTAATCTCTATGGTTTTATTCAATTTCCTTGAAAGAGTAACGTGTGATTGCTATAACGGATAGTCTGCATTTGAAGCTGTCACAATCACAAATCATTTGTTCAGTGTTTACTAGTCAAGTGCTTTGAATGGATTTCAATAACTGGCTTCATGCCTGACATTATGACATATGATGTCCTTCAGTACCATCTCTGCGGAACCTCTGACTCTCCAGCAGTTCGCGTTTTTCCAGGATGAGCTGGAAGATGGCCTTGCGCTGCATATTCACCTGCAAGAGAGAGAAATAAAAAGAAAAGAGAATAACATTTTTCATCGCGCTCAACAGCTTTTGCAGACAGATATGGGAGACAGATGCGACCAGCGTGACTGGGCCAGGAATGGAACCTAAATATGTGTGTCAAGTACGAGCAGACCACTGGGGAGAAACACTGCTGGCTTCTATTAACTGGCGTTTTGCGGGTAACCCATGCAGTAGTCATAGCTTTTGATATATTCAAACCCAAGCTGGAGGCGTTCCTGAGCGAGACACAAACAAACAGTCACCAGAAGACTGGCAAACACTGACACTCAGATTTTAATAGGTCAACCACTTCCCCTAAATGAAAACCGGTAACAACACCTTGTATGTTTTTTTTTTCCCGTAATGCAATACATTCCGGGAATGCTTCTCTGTTAAAAGGAAACTTTAAGTGGAAAAGAAAAAGCTGACAAACAATGTGACAAGCATGTGAACGCTTTGTCAGCAGTTTAACATATGTCTGGCAACAGAAACCGTGGTTGTGCCTATAAGTGAAGTGAGTACCTGTCCGTCTGGACTTTCAATCTACTCCATGCAAAGTGCATTTGGATCTACACACCATATACAGTTATGGTGTGTGCAAAAACTGTACTGTGCTGCAAAAAACAAAGTTAGTCATATGCAGCGTTGTAACCACTTTTTTGTGCCTTTTAAGGGTGAAATATTGCCAGATGGTTGAACTCTTGCCAGATATTGACTGCAGAATATCACATAAATGCAGCTGTTGCCCAACCGTAACTGTATATTTCCAAGATTTTCTCAAACAAAACAGTTTCTGAAAATCCAAGGAAAACATTCCCTACATTTTTAACATACCTAACCATATCGTAGCTATTATTTGGCAACAAGGATGCTAGCAACCTAGCTAACGTTAGTTACATGTCGCCGGTTAAGCAATTCACAAAGAAGCATTGGAGAATAAATTTCGTCTTTAAATAAGGTAGAAAATTTTGCATACTTTTAAATCTACACATGCCAATGTTTTTGTTTGACCTTTTCCAATTTCGGCCTGTGTGTTTAAATTTGTCCTACTAGTAATGTATTGTTTGTGAACGAATCTTTTGAACGAATCACTTTCGGATGGAAAAAAATAACTCGTATATATTAGCCTACATTAAAACACTAAAACGAGAATATGGTAGCCTATTTCATTTGTTCTTACATGTTGTCACGCGAATGAGCTGTTACTACACCTTTTAAGCGGCTGGAGTCTCAAGTACAAGTATTTTAATTCATTAGCCACAAGTTAATTAAGTAACTAGTGTCAGAGAGTCACAGTCACTTCAGTCACCACTGTCACCAGCACCGACGTTCACAAGATCACAATCACCTGCATTGTGATTCCCCGCACCTGCTGCAGCTAATCAAGATCCCCTATATCAGTGCTCACCTCTCACAAGATCAATGTCCTGTCTACCGTTCACTTCATTGAACGTAGCCTGACTCATTCTAATTACCTGTGTTTCCTACCCCAGACGTTCCTGTATGTCCTCCGTTCCTGTACTCCCCCGCTCCACGTGATTCCTACTGGAAGGCCAAGATCTGTTACCGCAAGCTGAGTCATCTGAGCTCTGTCACTGTGTGCTTCACTTGCCTCTCATCACCACCTGGTTCACGCCATCGTTTCGATCAATAAAGACCATTGTTTGACCAATTACCTCTGTGTCTCCTAGCCTGTGTCGTGACAACTAGTAAGACCGATTCATAATTGTTTTGGAATCACTATAGCGGGCAGCTCGATGTCAAATTTGATATTTATAATATAAATATTTATATTAGTCAAGATTTGATCAAGATGCTGTATACCATAATTTTTTTTTATTCAGCTTGGAAGGTAATTTCTTCCGGTGGTTAATTGGGTAAAAACAGGAAGTTATCCCACACGGAAATTGTTTTAAGATATATGTAGGCCAATATGTTTGACGTTCAGTTTACGTCAAATCAACATCAAGTTTTAAACGTCCAATTGATGTCATATTGACATCAAAGATTAGTATGTTTAATTAGGATTTATGTAAATTTATGGTGTAATATGAATTTGTCGTTAGCTTGATTAAGTTTAAATAGAATTATTTTCGTAAGGTTCAAAACACATTTGGCACATCTTTTGAACCGTGATGTGCAGCCGCTGAATTTGTGCATGGAGCTGCTGTAGGTGGACTTAAACTCTTATTAAAGGGGTCATATGATGCGATTTCAATTTTTCCTTTCTCTTTGAAGTGTTACAAGCTCTTGGTGCATAAAGAAGATCTGTAAAGTTGCAAAGACTAAAGTCTCAAATCCAAAGAGATATTCTTTATAAAAGTTAAGAGTCAACCAGTACAGTATGTGGAAAATAATGTGTTTTTTTAACCTTAAACCGCATAAACACATTTCATTACACCAAATACACAAAATAATGTTCTTTTTAGCAACATCATATGACCCCTTTAAAAACTTTTTGTACATTGCTCATGCAGAAATAGAAGGAAAACAGTGGAGTGATTATTACATTAATTAAATCTACCAAAAATACTGATTTGCTGCTAATACATTCACTGTAAAAAAAATATGTAATAATAATTATTGTTAAAACAATTGAAAATGTATAAAAACTTCAGAAATATGAATTTTTATTGAATATATGACCTTTTATAGTTGTCTTATAATTTTTTTAAATAGTCTTTTTTACCATACCTGTCAACCCTCCCGTTTTTCCCGGGATTCTCCCGTATTTTACCATTCTATCCCGCTATCATCCCGTTTAAATATTTTCCCGTATTTTTAATCTTTCTATTTAAAAAAAATCCCACTGGGCGTATTTTATATGTTTGCTACATTTGCTTCCGGTAAAACTCCCGTAATTTGTAAGGGCCAAACCTCGTTATATGAATAATCACGACAACAAATTCCAAGGTTGTCCAGTTGCCAGATCTTGTATGAAACGCATCTTTCTCACACAATCGACACATACCAATTTGTCCCCTCAACTTGGCAACCTGCAGCCCAGTGATGCTATTGATATGTGCGCAGGTAGTACCAGGGCTAGGAAACAATGGGAGATCAGGTGGTGCTCCAGTGAAAAAAAACTAAATATACATGTAAATGAGATATAGCTTACATGTCAAAAGGCTATTTAATTGATTAAATATGAGCGCTGCAAGTTTCAAAGTCAGGTGCTGCGCTGCTTTGTTTACTGCGGTTACCGGGGAAACGGCTATATTCCTGGCGAAAAGCGCCACCTGCTGGCAGAGAATGAATTAGCATTTTTCAATAAGCCCTTCTGCTCTGTTTAGACCAAAACCAAAAACGACCCTTATTTTTACGCAGAAAACACGCAGTTGTAAATGTGAACTGGTGGATCGACAAGTGTCCAAGAAGTGACAAGAAGATAATGAATTATAAAACTCTAAAGATATAGCCTACACTAAGATATATTTATGTTACTAGATGAATATAATTGTTTGATGATAATTGTTTAAATTAATATAATATATAATATAATATAATTTTTTTTTACTTTTGACTCCGTGTTCAGCACGAATCATCTCATTATAACAAAGTGATGATGCCTTGTGGAGCGTACATAACTTTACTGATAATAACGTATCTTTGTGAGCTCGCGATGAACTGAGATGAATGACAGCTTTTTAGTGATTATGAACGGAGCGCTCTTTGCGCCATAGCAACGGATGCCTATAGGCATATATATATATATATATATAAAATCCTGTTCCAGTAAATAAAACAATGCTCATAATGACAACAACATAGGCTACTCATGACAAAGTTGCCCATCTGTATCTGAGGGCAAGCTCTAAATGGTAGCTTACGAGTTGCAAATCATTTAACCATAATTACACAAACGCTTTTACGAGACGCGATGCTTAAAAGGCAATGTCAATTGGCTTCGAAACGCCCTCGTGCCAAGTAGTCTAAGATTTCCAGTAAATTGCCCTAAACATGGAGCAAAATTGGCAACAGAAGCATCACACTTGGCAGCGACTTTAGAAACTAAATAGGCCATAATTCACAGCACCCCGCGCGCAAAGTCTGGAAGGGTCATAAAACGCGTCCCGCAGACCCCCAGCGGTGCCGCAGCTGTATGTTTGTATAATCAAGTGCCTCGAAATTATACGATTACATTCTTCTTGATAGCCTATACCTCCCCAAAAAGGACTTGCAAAGGGCTTTCAAGCTCAGGACCAATAACCTACCTCGTGATTAAAAGAAAGAAAAGGCATAATTGCAAAATCACTGCGTGATTAGTGAGAAATGTTTTGACAAATGTGCTTGGGAATGCATGCATGCATCTGACGTGCACTTAAAAGACATCGCGTTTACCTGCTCTAGGCGCTCCTGCAGAGTTTGGAAAGACCTCGACAGGTCCCGCGTTTGTCGCATTGTCCACGCTGTAAATATGGCACTGCACACGGCCAGGGACAGCGCGAGCACGGCCATGAGCGACCAAACCAAGCGCAGTGTGCGGATCCTTGGTCTCCTCTGAAGAATTCGCTGCATTGTTGCGCACACGGGTCGTTTACCGTTCTGGAGCTTCCACGTCAATCATTCTGTCCATATTCCACGAGAACATCTCTGAGCCTCTCTGGTAGGTCCCATGCGCGAGAGCTTCTCCACTCAGAGCGCAAATGCAGCTGTTGCAGCGCGGTCAACGCAAACCTGGTTGCAATCGTTGCGAGGTTGACCCAGCAAATCAGTCGCCGCTGTCAATGCTTTGCTATATGCAGAACTGTCTGCGTTTATTGCATAAACTGGCCCTAATGGAACAGCAATATTCCTCTCATTCCTGTGCAGAGAGTTGACAGTAGCGCAGCAACACTGTGTGGTTTGGATTTTACTCGCATCTTACGGAGACCTGATTCTTTGGCATGAATTCCTCGTGTTCTCTTAGACAAATAAACCATGGTCTATCTAGTCCATAAGAGGTGTCATTTCAAAGCACTTCTGCGTCCATGTGCTCAAGTATGCACTGCAGGGAAGTGAGTCCTGCACAGCAGTGGAAAACAGATTTCCTTCCCCCCTCGTGCGGTGCCAAGTATTCTTATTCTGTAGCGAAATACTATTTAGCTCGGTCCTGCCTCAAATCAACAAGTGCGCTTGTCCGCGTGTCTTTTTCTAGAAGGCTGGTTGAACTGGTTGTTCTCTAAGGTTTTACAAAGTTTGACCATGGATTAATAGAGTAAAGATTGCCGATTAAATTATCACCGCACCGAAATTGCTAAGAGACAATTTATTATAAGAAAGAAAGAAAGAAAATAGCTGCATAAATTCAAGGGGCAATTAGTCTCTTTTCCGATTCAAATTAGACCAATCTACGTTTTTATGTAACCGATTTAATGACCAGTTATTAAGATTTATGACCAGTCTTGTAAAAATGAGATGACTAACTTCTAACACTAGTCTAAGCATTTATGCAATCAACCACATGCACTATTTCATAACAAAAAACTCCAGCAATACACATTTATATTCTTTTTGTAACCTGAATCAGCTCATAAAACCATATAGTAGGCATATAAATACACGTTATGTGCGTGCTCTGTCGCAGGGGTTATTCAAACATGAACCTGTACTACCTTCAATCAAATGACATGTAAATTGTTTGCTTTTATCTTTGAATCCTAATGTAATATTTTGTATAGGCTTTTCCTGGTGTCTTTTTTTAAAATCTCCTCTATGGTTTGTAAAATGACAAACAGCACAGTCTAATCATTGCTTAATCATTTCCTAACATAAATGTCAATATTGTGAAGATGTGTCTAATTTTGCTCTCCCTTTTCCCTTCCAAAAATCCCAAACAACTGGATGGTTTCCTGGCAGTGAGTTTGATTATTATGAGTCAGAAAATGAGCCTGGGTCTGATTCACAGCGTTTTGACTTATTACATTTTTTACGAAACGCTGGCCTGTCAATCGGTTGAGCATTTAAAGGATTAAATGAAACAACATATGCACGTCACAGCTGTTGTCTCGGTTGTTTTTAACATTGAAATACAACTTGAGTTCCTCAGTGAAGTGCGCTGGAAAAAGTCCTAAATGTGGAATATCGTTAATGGCTTCTCCGGGTGACCACTTGATGTCGCTGTTGCCTAAAGTGTGGTAAGTGCAACATGTCGGCGTATCAGCAGCTTGGAAATGGGGTGATCTGCAGGCCAAATGTGAATCCTGCTTCCAGTTACGATTAATTTTATGGTCATTGATTCAGAAGTGAGCTTTGATGGCATTTACTATGTTTATTTGATGATTACTTGTGCACAGTTTTGTTAAACACTAATCTAGATCACCATGTTTAAAAAGCTTTTAGTCAAGTAAAAACACATGTAGCAAAACCATGGACAAATGTACTTTTATCAATGGCCGACAGAACAACAGACTCCACAGTACATTGGATACAGCAGCTTGTAACAATGTAACTTTTTTTTTGCCATCATCTTTACAATGAGGCTATACAGATGTTCTCTAAAGTGCTACAAAATAACAGTTCCATCCTAACAGGTCATAAAATGTTACTAATTACTAACTAAATTTAGAGACTGAGGTACTTACGGGTTTGTATGTTGTTCACACTTATGATGTATTCGGTAACAGCACAAGATTTTCTTGCCAAATACCTTTTGGCAATAAACATCAAATATCTGGTTACTAAAAATTGCACACAAATAATCTACAAGGCAAAGTAAACAAAAATCATCTACAAGGCAAAGTAAACAATTCAGAAAAGCAAAATCCAAGCATGGTTTCACTAACCAATAACAAATAGGATTTAGCTCATTTACAATTGTAGTGCATTATTCTACTTTTAGTGAGATTATTCTCTGTTATGACTGTTAACAGTTACCAAAAGTGAGTCAAGAAAAGTATGTGGCTCATATCTGTGCATGTGCAGCGTAAACGGACACATCTTCATGTTCTAGGTGGCTGTGAATCTTGTGGACCGATCAGTTCTTCATATATTACAACATAGTTTAAGAACACTACTTGTGTATAATTTTAAATCAAGTGGTTTTGTGAGCGAGAACGACTAGATGTTCAAATGTACAAATAAAATGACACGTTATATATGGCTAAATACTCAAATGACTATTTAAATAGAACATCTAAGTTCTAAATACATACGATTGTAACAGCACCATCTGTAACAATTTCACTTCCACTCTTTCCACTAGTAGAAAAATGATTATGTCATAATATGCCCAATATAGATGTGATTCCTAATAACACAACAGTGCACTTTTGAATCTTTGGTTAGGCCAGACTTCCCAATTTAAATGTGTAGAATGAATCAATGTGTAATGCACTTTTTGAGGCAACATAAATAAGCAGCATCTTCTGTATGTTGTTCTCTCTAATAATGCTCGTCTATATCGCCTCATAAAGTTGCAGAAAATGTATGTAGGATATGAGCATGGTTACTTATTCCATTTTCCCCATTTTAACTGGTAGTTTACTGTCTTCCTGTGCTTATCAAACAGCTTGTTACTTGTGGCTCTGGTCAGGGGTTGACGGGGGAATCTATGTGCTTCAAAATTTAAAGGTCCCCCTGGGCCAAGTGTTCAAGGGCATCGCCCTCACAGCGCATGCAGTGATAGCCGAGGTCAGAGGTCACATCCCAGCAGCCCTGCTTTAGGTAGAAGTCAAGAGATGATTTGTTCCAGTCCAGCACAGTGAAATTCAGCTGGGTGCAACCAGCAGCCAGACCAAGCTGAGGGTGATCATAATCACAAACATGTCAAATCGTACACAATCAACAATAATCTAATTCTCAATTTGTTAACAACAGATTCCTTGCTAATGCATTATGATCGTGTGCCATATGTTGCTATTACCTAGTATAAATAAACACCCCTCACCTGGGAAACTTTGGACATCAGAGCCTTGCCAATGCCTTTCCCTGGAAATACTCACAGAAAATCATTAATCAGTCAAAGGGCTTACAATTTATTTTCAATTCAAATAAACAAAAGCACACAGTGTGGTTTCCTTACCTCTGAACTCTGGCATCACATACAGATCCTCCATGTACACCGCCCGACCTTTCCATGAACTGTATGTGTAGAAGTACAGAGAGTAACCAACCTTGGTGTGACCTGTAAAGAGATATACATACATGAATCATCTCCGTCAGCTTGATGGCTAAAATAAAAAAAAATACCACTAATGTTAACACCAGGGTAAACACAAAACTCAAACATACTCATCACATACAGATCCTCCATGTACACCGCCCGACCTTTCCATGAACTGTATGTGTAGAAGTACAGAGAGTAACCAACCTTGGTGTGACCTGTAAAGAGATATACATACATGAATCATCTCCGTCAGCTTGATGGCTAAAATAAAAAAAAGAACACTAATGTTAACACCAAGGTAAACACAAAACTCAAACATACCAGGCAAACAATATCAAGTTGTAAAACATACAGTTACCACAGTTAGCCAGGCACTTAAGAGAATAGTTCACTAAAAAATTTAATTTTACACTCTGGCAGATTGAGATGAGTTTATTTCTTCACCGGAACAGATTTGGAGAAATCAAAACATACAGTTACCACAGTTAGCACATTTAGCCAGGCACTTAAGAGAATAGTTCACTGAAAAATTAAATTTTACACTCTGGCAGATTGAGATGAGTTTATTTCTTCACCGGAACAGATTTGGAGAAATGTAGCATTGCATCCCTTGCTCAATGGATCCTCTGCAGTGAATGGGTGCCGTAAGACTGAGCTGATAAAAACGTCACAACAATACACAAGTAATCCACACGACTCCAGTCCATCAATTTGAAATTAATGTCCTCTATCCATAATCTTGCTTTCTCCTGTGAAAATGTCATCTCTGAATCTTAATCAGGAGAGAAATATGCACAGATCAAGCACTGTTTACAAGCAAAACCAGTTCTAAATATGTCGGTGGATTTTACTGTGAGAGGACAGGGGATGGACTTTTTCACTGGAGGAAACATTATGGACTTGTATTTGGCCGGAAGCAACACTTTCAAGATAAAAATTATTGAAAAATGTGTTTCTTACAAACATGCAGCTTTTCACATCGTAATACTTTAATTGATGGATTGGAGCCTTGTGGATTATTGTGGTGTTTTTATCAGCTGTTTGGACTCTCATTCTGACGGCACCCATTTATTCACTGGAGAGGATCCATTGGTGAGCAAGTGATGTAATGTAAAATTTCTCCAAATCTGTTCTGATGACGAAACAAACTCATTTACATCTTAGATGGCCTGCATGGTGAGTAAATTGTCAAATTTTCCTTTTTTGGGTAAACTAGTCATGCATGGATAAATGCCACAACAATATATATGTATATATATATATATATATATATACACACACATACATATATATATGCTGTGGCAATGTTGCTTTAAAATGGTGTAGAAAATGTATATGTAACTGTGAGGAAGTACATTCAAAAAGGAAAAAAGGGCAGACAAGATTATGTAACAACTATGCACTCAGGCTAGACATGACACACATGCCCAGATTAGATAACAAATGTGTATGCTACTGCAGGACAACGCAGAAGAACAGCAGATTTGATTTCATGTTGTAATAGGATTGTTGATCCAAGATAAACGCTAAATCAAGGTTCTTTTTTTCTCACCCTCTCTAGACTTATGGTGCTCTGGCACTTCAGCAATAATGCCATGGAAAAAGGGGTTTTTAGAGAATCCATCCTGCTCCAGATCTACAGTAGAGAAGCATGATTGGCTTTAAATTCTTTAAAAAAGCTTTCAATTCTTACTAAAGCAGCAATCCACAGAATTAATTATTCCAAGCAAATCATTGTACTTGGTATGGGAGAGATGTGACAATCAGGCCTACCTCTTTGTGTAATCTTGACCTGGTCAGAAGCTTTCTCATACTCTGCCAGTTCCTGGTATGAATGATTTGACAATAGAAAGAGTTTCAGTGACAAGCCACTTTTCTTCACCTCGCAAGCACATGATGCATACATGATGACATTAATATGGTTAAAAATGAAAGAATGACTAATAAGCCAATAAAAAGTTT